GGGGGGAGGGGGTCGTCGTCAAGGGGTCGACAGCTGCTGCAAGGCAAAGAGCAGTATTATGCTGTGGCAGGCTGCATCGTGCCGGCGGCAGGTTAAATGCCGGCAATTGGTATTAATTGGTGTATATTGCGACCGGCAGCTCCAGCAGCAAAGCGCCCCCTCCCCTTCCTGGCAGAAAGAAACAGTAAACTGTCATAAACACCTTAACTGTGAAAAAGTACTATGATAATATTCGAAGTATCTGTATTACAGAAGAAATTAAAAATTAGACTGTTTTATAACCTTTTCATTTTTAAATTTTTGAGTGTAAACCTGTAAATATTTGGTTGCGGTATTATTGCTGTGCACTCGCAGTGCTGATTGTGGTGAAGGTTTTTTGTCGTAATGTTTCGTGTGTCCTGGTGTGTAAAAGTCTGACGGTTCTTTGGTACGGTGGCAGCCGCCGGCGCGCGGGGCGGGGCGGGGCGGGGCCACCAGCAAGTGGTGTGCATCAATAGATTGTTATGGATGGAGGCCTCGATGGAGGCGCGCGGAGGCCCGTGGTCACCTTTCAAGGGAGGAGGTCAACTGTCTCTAATCGAGCTGCACGTGGCGTCAGGGCCGCCGCCGGCTCCGCTGGCTGTCCATCTGGGCGGTAATGAAAATCAATTAGGGACGGCCGACCCCGATGAGGTGGCGGCCGGGGCGCCATGCGGGCGCGGCCAGAGGGCGCGGCGGGCGCGGCACGAGGGTGCGGCAGGACGGTGATAAAATGTGGGGGATCCAAATATTATGGGAGGTGATCCGAAAATTAAGGGGTCCCTAAAAAATCGGGGCGGTCATCGGGGTCCAATAAGGAGACCCCGTGATATTTTTACCCCGGGGTACGAATATCATCTTTGACCCCAATGACCGCGGGATCCTATTGTGACCTCATAACATCTGGATCCCCTCTCCCGCCACTGTCCACGTTGTTACTAAACGGCCCGAAAGAGGGTACTTGGACCAAAAAGTATTCGTTGCAGAAGTACTACTAATGCCTGACAAAAATACAGTCAGAAGTAAAAAGGTTTTACTGTTTTAAGTACATTTTGTACTTAAATAGTGACCCAAGATAAAAGCTTTTTCGTAACGGTGCGACGGCCGAAGGATTTAGGGCATGTTTTCCAAGAAAGGAAATTCCCTTCACAGTGTACCAGCTGAGCATTAGAAAGTGCTGCCTCCTGGCGTCCGGCAGCATACTGTTGAAACGTGTTCAAATTTAAAGGAGTAACTCGGACAAACGAAGAAAAAAATACATCCAGAAATACACAGCAATTTGTTATGCATTTATTCATTGGTTGACACGCTGATCAGATCAGAATCCATTATGTCAAATTTGCACTGAGTGTTTCATTATACAGAAATGATAAATCAAAACACAGGTTGAACATCGTTGATGTGAATCCAAATCCCACAAGCATCGTGATCCTCTGGGGAGGGACACTCGCCTCCAGGGTGCGCGAAAACGCCAACGATTTCGCCATCCTCACCCTCTGCAGGTCCCTCGAGTTCTTTGTGGCAGTCCAGTTGACACGCGTTGCACTTCTCGTACAGGTCCTCCTCGTCGTACAGGTCCTCCTCATCGCCTTCGAGGCAGTCCGTGGTGGCGTACTGCACCTCAACGTGAAGCAAGGGGTTCCTCGACAGAAGCGCACCGAGTCTCCTACTGTGTAGAAACTTGTGAGAGCACATGCGACGCGGGCATTCATTGTCGAGTAGGTGGAGGCTCCGCAGAGACGGGGCGGTCTGGGGGCTGATGGCATCCACCAGCGGGGCTGGGTCCAACAACCTGAGCTCGAGGCGTCGCAGGGCGGGCAGCGAGGGCAGCCGGGCCGCCAGGTGAGGCACGAGGAGGGACTGAGCGTCGGTCGAATGATAGCGCGAGTCCTCGACATCGATGGACAGCTGCTCCACCTGGGAGCGTCCGGACGACGCCAGCTCACCAATCAGCTCTGCGCCCAATTCATGGTCGTCAACTTCACCGTCAGGTCGGCGAGGGAAGTAGAGGTGGAGGCGGCGGATCTGGAGCGCGCGGCGGAGGAGCTCCAAGGCGCCGTGGCTGTTGGACTCGGTCGGAACGGCGAGCTCCAGCTCCCTGAGCGACTCGCACGCCGCCACCTCCCCCAGCCCCGGGATCATGGGGCAGCACAGCTTGTGGAGGTTGGGCATGCCGGCGAGCAGGCGCGCCGTGGAGGTGGAGGCGAGGGGCGCGGAGGTCCTCGCGGGTATGTAGCCGAGGTGGACTCCCACCAAGGTTGCGGCGTGCCCGGCCAGCAGGTAGTCGCAGAAGGAGTCTGGCCAGGGAACCATGTCGCAGTGGAGAATCTTCAAGGACGGCGTGATGGTGCCGCGCTGACCGATCTCGGGCGGGAACCGTTTCCCTTGGCCCATGTTCCCGCGGAGGATGATCATCCCCAGGCCAGGGGTTGTGGCCAGCGTCCCAAAAATCTGGTCCACGCCTTCTTCTGGCAGAACCAAGGGATTTACAATCGCGCTAAGGTCCGCCAGCCATAGACTCACGCCCCGCAGCCGCCCGAGCGCCGCCTGCCGGTTGA